GGGGCCCGTTCGAATTGGTTGAGCCCGGATACTGTCTTCGGAAGTTTTCTTCGAAACTGTTCACACTAGCACTCTTAGACACATAAGCTACGTTCGAGGCGCTTCCATCAAGCTCTGGTTTCAGAACGCACTGAATCTGCAAGAATGACAGCCCTGTTAAGAGACAGTTCGCTAAGTTTCTTTTTCTATGCAAATATGGTTTTCCTCAGAGATGAGTGTGGTCAGGGGTTGGATTTAGTGCACTTCACAAGTGGGAAAAACAGTGTTCACTTTGGATTCGATCTGTGAGCTGGCTCGTGATGCAGACAACAGTTAAGCTCGGACCTTATTTCAGGCCACATCCGCCCGCTTTTCTTTCCCCCACACCACCTGTTACTGATTTATGTCCTCGAGACTTACTGAATGACATGTTTTTGTCCAGCTCAAGCTTTTTTCTCACCTGGTCAGAGAACGTGTCCTTGTGGATTGTGCGTAGGTGATTGTGCGACAGGTCCACAGTCGAGAGTTTTGGGCAGCAGGCGAAAGCGTGACTTTGCAGCTCAAGTATGCCATTGCCTCTGAGGATTATTTCGAGCATTTTGTCAGCTCCATCCATTGTATTCTTCTTGAACGTTTCGAGAACGTTATAGCCGAGGTCCAAGTGAACGAGACTTCGCAAAATGCATGTGAGTTCCGTTCTGTAAAAAATGTTCTGTGAATGAAGCACTAAAGGGGTGTTTTATGTGGTAGTTCTTCCTTACTGTGAGATCCGATTATGAGCGAGATTGAGATTGAATATCGTCTGGACAGAACCAAGTTGTTCACATGTGAAGTTCTTGAGAAAGTTGTGACTCAGATCTAATGTCTCAATCCTGGCAACACGGTGGAAGGCTGATTTGTCGATTCGTTCGATTTCATTGTGATGCAAAAGCAACGTGTCAATTAGAGGAAGGCTCGTGAAAGCTTGCGGGAGGATATGCACGATGTTGTTGTTTGATAGGTCGACGTAGCGCAAGTTTTTGAGTTCAGCAAAGACCTGAAAATAATCCTTGCGAATGCTACAAAATACATTTTCTCTTCTTTTCCTAGTTCTTTGAATTCAGTTTGGGCTATGACTGACCAAAAATGTCCATCATTCTACTGTATCCCAGTTAGACCATCATTCCCTTTAGCGGTCGTCAGGTTGAGAACAAATCAGAACCTTTCCTTAGAGTGTAAACTTCTTGGATTTCCTCCACCCTAAAAGGTGCTCCTGCCCTTCTTCTTGTCCGCCCTTATAACCGCATATCCCTTTTCCGGAAAGCTGGACTTATTTTTTTCAGATTATGGGAGGAAGTCATTGTTCTTATCATCTTTTCAAACTTTCGCGACATTATCGCAGGAATGCTGAGTTATGGGCAAAAGAGTCGCAGTCGTTTTCGCTGAGGCGTGTCAGTCAGGAGGGGGGCTGGGTTTGGCGCAGCGCGTACCCGTCCTCTACCTACTGCTGGAGCAGCGACAATTGGTAGAGAACGGGCTGGCTCTGCGCCAAATCCGGCTCCCTCTTCCCGCCCCCTGCCCCAACATATCCCAAAATGTTGCAGCGAAAACTAAAAAAAGGTTATGCCCCGCCCTTCAACATATTCCACCCTTGCGTTCATATTGCTAGTTTCAACACATTAAGAAAAGGTGTCTGGCACGAGGGTCAATTGGTGCGAAGTCGGGTTGTTGTTGGTACTAAGAACTTGAAGGTTCTCCATCAGTTGAAATGCCCTTTTGGAAATGCTTGAGATCCTGGTTCCCAGAGCGAGGTTCAGAGATTTTAGTCCTTTAGAGCTGCTTGAATGAAAGACGTTGTCGCCTATGGAATGTATTCGATTCCCGGCTAAAGATAAGTGTTCTAGGCGTTGGGTGGAATAAAGAAGGTGATCTGGTAGCTCTTCAATTAGATTGTTGTCCAGATTCAGTTGCCGAAGGTTCTGCATCCGCTGCTGAGCATGTATGGGGTATTCTTGAAGTTTATTGTTCTGAAATGGATTTCCTTGACTAGGAACCGGATGAGCTACAAAAATGGCTCAGTACCTGCAGATATAGCCTCTCCAGTCCTGGTAACTTCTCGAATATCTTAGGGTCTATTTTTTCCAGTTTGTTGTAGGAGAGGTCAAGATAGGCTAGTGATGTCATATGAAGAAATACATTGGATCGGGACTTCAGGTGATTACCGGCAAGATTTAAATGGACCAAGTTCGAGTCTGTGCTATTCACGTGTACTAAATGCTAATCGATCCAGTTGTTTGATACTGTTCTTGGACAAATCCAAATGCTGCAGGCGGACCATCCCGTTAAGAGCTTTTGTTGGAATTATTTTGAGGCGGTTATAAGCAAGTGATAGATCAATAAGAACCTCTTTCAACCCTGCGAAAGGTTCTTCATCGACCCTGAAAAATGTTCTTCATATAGGTTTTCGAGAAGGAAGGGCTTGTCAAACTTACTTGGTCCAATTTGTTCCCGTTCATTTGCCAAATGCGTGCCATTCTTCGATCGTAGTGCCGCTGGGATTGCATGAAATATATTCTCTTCAAGATTTAGTCGTTCGAGATTCTTTGCCAAGTTTTTGAATGTCCCACGAGCAATGTAGGCAAGGGTGTTGTAGCTAAGGTCAAGAGTTTTCACATGGCTGATGCTCTCGAACGCTGCGGAAGACATGCTCGATATCTGGAAAATATAAACTTTCGTTACCCTTGAAATTTTCGGTGTGCGTTGACGCCGCAGCGACCAAAGTATCTTTCTCAGAAGCCCCTATTCTATTCTATTGCTAGCAAAGTAGTGGAAGAATAACGAACCGAGCCGTTTGTGTCAATTGTTATTAGTGTGTGAGAAATGCTGGATGTCCTTACACTACAGCTGAAGGAGAAGTGTAGCTCAAAAAGGCTTTTCTGCTGTTTGACGTCTCAAAAATGGGATATTTTTCGAAACCACAGAAGAAGCTGTGGGACGGCTCCCAGAGGGCATCTCAGTTGCGATTGCGCTTCTTGAAAACGGTTTCCCGCATGATGCTGCGGTTCACTTATGACATAAACGCGAGTTAATTTTCCCCTGAGCGGTTCCGGGATTGCCACAGAGAAGAAGAAAAAGATTTCCCGAGCAGGGAGCTGAAACCACTTGATTATATTTGTGCGTATATGCAAAAACACTAGCTGTAA